TAGCTCTTCTGGATGGGTGGAGAAAGGCATGGAGGGTAGAAAGAAACTAGTATATATTATAATCAGTGCAGAGATTTAAATTAAGGTTAAAATTATTAATTCTGAATTAAATAATTGGTGTGAATATCATTTTTATATAAAGGAAGCTGAACAGGAACTGAAGAGATTAAGGTGTTTGAAGTGTTTTAAAGGGTTTTTTTTTGTAATCTTATTTTATGCATGCATAAATAGATTTTTAAAATGGTATTTGAGGAACATGATCTGTTTGTGCTCTGCAGGATGTTAAGATGATTGTATGCCAGATATCAAGGCACATTTTAGAGGATGCACATTGTGGAAAATATCTAAAAAGGAAAACTTCAGCTTGTCAGCTGAAAGATACAAAAAGATTTCTTCTCCCTTCCCCCTTCTTTTGTTTATATTTTTGAAGGGCCACTTTATTAGATGCTTTTGTTTCTAAAGCTAGAGTTTTTCATGGTGTATGATCTTTATTAATCTAATACATCATAAGAAACATGCCTTACTATCAGGAGTTTTTTAGAACATCCTATAATAAGGAACAAGTGCTCTTTGACTGTGATATTACGTATTGAATGAGGACCTATTGAATTGTCTGTTAGACATTTCTATTGAATAAATGTTAAGCAAAACAATATGAAATTTCTAGGAATAAAGTTACTGCCAGATTTCTATGTCTTTACTGTCTCAGTGTCAGAGTTGCTTTACTGGTTGCATGTAGTTTCTAGTGGAAATTGGCAGATAAAATCACCCCTCTTTTCCCTGAGCAGTTTTCTTTTTACCCTAGCCACCTACCTTGTAAGTGTAATGGGAAATTCAGGCTGTTTTATTCTAAAAATTAGTTATTTGCCTTTCATAGCCAGTCAAATAGAGTTGGGTCTGGAAGATGAAGTAGGCCATTTCTTGGAATTTTCCTAACTCTTTTCCTGTAAGTCAGTGCCCAAGGTATTAAACAGTCAGTTGCAAATTAATTTAAGTAAGCTCTGCTAACCTTGCATTTTTCCCTGCCTATTGTGAGATTGTGTCCATTTCAGCTCATTAGTATTTATTAAATGAAATTATCTTTGTATTGCAGTAAGTTTTGCTTTTGCTGGCAAACTTTGTATTTGGACAAACTTAGAAAATGGCTTACTGGTTGTTGCTCAGAAAGCACTTGAGGGGCTGGAAACGGATCCCTCTGTATAAACATTTCTCAGAAGAAATGTTTTGCCTGTCAGAATCAACTAGCTTGAAAAATGTTATCTGGTGTCTAAATGAAATTACAGATGTGTAAGACTTTCTTCATAAACAGGAGTGTTTTTTGCAGATAAAATGATTGTTTATCCTGCTCTTTTCTTTCTTTTTCTTTCTTCCCCCAGCTGCTTTCTTCATGGAACACAACATATCCATCAACTGATACTGAAAACCAAGCATTTTCTGTAGCAGCACTTTATTAATTCAGTGTATGCCTCTTGTTTTGCCTGAAAGGCTGATTTAATTGCAGAACAAGATCAAACTGAGAGGTTTATTTTTTTTTTTGCTGCTAAGCTCCCTTTTACTTTCATAACTATTAGGACAAAACGGAATGTTAGATTTGTTCACAGACATCCCCTTGGAAACTGAACAAACTCACTCAAAATCTTCCAAAGTAGTTGAAAAAAGAAATAATTCAACAAATTATGTTCTTAAAACCATGGTTCATAGCAGCTCTTGTTATGAAGTTTGGGAAATATCTGAGAGCAGAGAAAAGAGTAGATTAGACTTTCAGCTCCTACCTTCTTTAGGAGGTGATGGGTTTGAAATCTGAGTGGGAGAAGGACTGGCAGCTTGTGTGGGATATACAGGTCAGTGTGAGAGAAGGGTGAGTGGAGGCTGAAGGAGATACCTCAAGGGAATGGAATTTAAAATGCAGTAAACCCTTCAGCTGTGCTCTTCACAGCCCAGTCTCTGCTGCACTATACCAGTGTACATTAATAATTAATTGCCTCATGTGTATAGAGGGCTTTGCTTTACTAAGAGGGTACATAATGTCAAAAAGCATAGTAGGTTTGGGGCTGCCGTTATGGCTTTAAATGCTGTTGAAGGCTTGTTGTGGTTCCTTGATATATTACAGGCAAGGCTTTTCAGGAGTGTGAATTGGAGGGGTTTTGGTATTTTTTACCAGGCTTTAAAAACCTCAGGAAGAAGCATCTTACAAGCAGAGATCGTAACTCTAGACAGAGTTGCAGTTACTCTGAGTCCTGTCTGGAATATCATGGATACTTGGTCTTAATTAGTCTTTTTTCCTAGTGTCAAGGTTAGCACTTTTGCAGTTGGATGGTCATGGCCTTGAAACAGAGCATTGGGCAGGAGGAGTAAGCTTGGCACCTTCTGAAATCTGATACCTACCACAGCAATGGAATAGAAATTATGGAGTGCCCAGATTCTTGATCACTTGTGCCTGTAGTACCTTTGGCACTGTCCATTCACAGCAGCAGCAGCTGTGGCTGGGGATGCTGTACATTGTGTAATGAGCCCCCAGTGTGCTGTGGGAGTAGGAATGCAGCAGGATTAAACACTGAGGACAAGAACCAGTCAGTTTGCATTGCAGTGAGTCAGTTCAGACTCTCCTTTCTGCTTTCCTTTTTTCTATTGCTAATGGGCCAGTTCTGTTTTAGCTCTTCAGTCTAAAAGTTGCCAGGGGCATCTTTGAAAACTCCAGTTCAAATGAAAATGTTTTAAGGAAAATACTGACAGAAGCTGTTAGTATTGTCACAAGGACTGTTGACCTCTACGGAGGTTTTACTGTTTATTCTTTTCTTCCCCCTGCCAGAAAGGGTTCTATGTTTCCATTAGCGGCTCTCCTGTTGTTTTGAGATACTACATTCATACTACAGAAAACTTACTAAACAGAGTTTGTGATCAAAACAAATAGACTGTGAATCTGAAGACAGAAGTCTCCGCTGCAGTGTGAGTAGAAATGGGGTGCCAGTGGATGCTTGCTAGTTATCTACTGAAGCAGATGATTTGGGTATCCTGTGATATGCACACACACAGGAAGGTCATTGAGTCACTGGAGTCAAAAGTCAGGAATGTGGCTCATTTAGAAGTCTGTAATTGGTTATAGCCATGTTAGGAATATGCCATTTCAGAATAGAGGGCTGTGTTGCCAAGATTTACACCAGAGCTAAATATACACATTGTACATGCAAAGTGTTTGTAATGTTTTGTGATTGCTACAGCAGCCTTTTATAAGGGCTGTGGCTTTCTAGTTAAAAATAAGCCTCCTTTTCATATGCAAATTTTAATTAGTTTAGTGTAACAGTTTAAACACTTCATTTGTTATATAGATGTAGTCACTTTTATCTTTTCTAAATCCCTGTATGGTGTTTTCATATGTAGTCAGGACTGAATCCATAAATTTCATATACAGTAACTGTCTCTTGCTGGGCAGAGCATGAGCTATTATTGCTGGTTGTCTTACAGATCTGGAGGTTTGAATAAATAGGGAACACAGCATCCTCACTGGGTGGGCTGCAGGATGTGAATCTTCGTATTTTGGAAGAAATCTGTATACATACATGTGTGATAGACACCATTTGTAGCACAAACAATACTGTTGTATTTTGAAGTGTTTCACTGGAAAGTGTTGGTCGCATGTAGTCTGAGAAACTGACCCTTCTCAGACTAAACATTCCAAACTTGGAAATGGTTTCCGTATTTAATTTTTTTAAAAAAGGCATATAGCCTGAAATGTCTTTCTAAAATTTGCAATTGCTCTGTGTATGTATTTTATGTGTAATCTAAAAGAATACATTAAAAGCATATAAGCATGAAAGGTGGAAGAAAGACTCTCTGAAATTCTTGCATTATATTAATAACTTCATGTATTAAGTTTTCACTTACATAAACTACTGCTGTGAGCTCATGCGACCTTTTCCCATTTGTGGTGACTCACTGATTGTCTGCATTTTCTATGTATAATTCTTCCTGTGCACAAAACAATCATTTTTGGCATCAATAAGATAAGTATACTACTCACTCCCTTAGGTACCTTGTAACAAAGAAGTTAATGTACTGAAGAGAAGGAGCATTAGGTAGATTAGTTTTTCATTTTGGATGGTATGAGTCAGTGATTAACTTGGAGCCATTTTAGTGACAGTGACCCTCAACCCCTAAAGTCAGTCTTGGCTCTCTCTAAGCAAACTCAGTGTTATAGATGGTGATTGAGCAGAAAATTCTGTGCTCTGATTCCTGAAGCATCTTTCTCACTTGATCTTGCTTTAAGGAGTCTCCTAAAAAGAAAATACTCTTGTTGCTATAGTGATAAGTTGGAAGATCTATAGGCAGCTCATTAAGATTTCTCTCAGAAGAAATCTAGGCAGCTGGAAAATGTTCTGGCACAAGCAGTTTGTGGCCATGTTGGTAAGGCTGGGTGACACTTGGAATACCAGCCTAGTGTGGGTTGTGCCAGAACAGCTGTGGAGTAGCATGAATGGGCTCTAGGAGATAACCTTGGACAAAATGGAAAAAAAATAACAAGTTTATATGAGAACAGATGGTTTTATAAAGCAGGAGCAGTGGACTGTGGAATTGTTGGCTGTTGTGTTACAGTACATTGTGATCTGAAGTTTTATTTTATACCAAGCTTCATGTTGAAAACATGAATTCAGTATCTTATTTTTACATTAAGATGTATGGTCCTTTTAAAAACCCCCAGATTTTCAATGGTTTCTTTGTTTGTTTTTCCCTGTTCCTTCTCCTCAGTAAACAAGAGTAAAAACTTTACTACCTTTTTCATTATTCTTAAGAAGGTATCCTTGAGATTATGATATAATGGAAGAAAGAGTATAAGGTAGGATCATCTTAGTTACCAAGTTACTGATGCCAAGTATGTGATTTTTAAAGGGTTGTAAGGAATTCTGATATTAAATTAATTTTTTAAAAACCAATTTAGAAAGTGAGTTAACTTCTCAATAGAGGTTGGCTAAATCTTAATGTGGGTTTCTTTTCTTCATGCACAGTTTGAAAAAGAAAAGACAAGTCAAACAAACCACTGAGACTGTCTCTGCCAATTCCCCTGGATCTCCTGTTTCCACAACACCTTCTGAGAAAGATGATGAAAGGAAAGTTATTTTGGAGCAAATCAGTTCCTCTGAAGACAACTGTAAATTTCCTGGGGAAAAGGAAACTGCTCCAGACAAGGATAAGAAAAAGAAAAAGTACAATCAACTGAAAGACATCAGACGCACAGAACTTAAAAGATACTATAGTACTGGTGAGTTATATTAATCCTGTAGTATATTAAAATATATTTGTTTTGATAGCTTGCTAATGTATTTTTCTCATATTCTGTAGGCCTTCTTAAAAGGATCATTAACTTTGGATATCCTTCCTATAAAAGCAAATAGAATTATATGGTTCAAAATATCTGATACTAACTTAAACCTTGCATTCTTACAAAAATAACTATATCTTTTTTCTCAGTTCTAAAACTCAGTGTTGTTATAGGCAGCACTTAGTTTATTATTGCATTTTATTTTAGCTGTTTTAAGATTAATATTCAATGTTTTATGGGGTTCAGTTTTTTTTGGCAAGGCTGTTTCTTTCATAAATTGATGTATATGTTTAAGGCTTTAGTCTTAATTCATATTCATGTTGGTCTGTTGAAGTGCGAGGAAGTAAGTAAATTAACTACATATTTTTAAACAAGATGTCAAAGGGCTTGTGTGATGACTTGTTTCCCCCTCACCCCCCACAGCTGTCTAAGTAAATTAATTATAAATTCCTTTTTAGATTTTTTTGCAAGTACTTCAGAAAAAATTTAATTACGCATTAATATATGAGATGAGTCATATACACATCAGTTTGCAATCCTCCATTGTAATTTGTTAAATATTCTGAATTGATTTTGGATATGATTTATTAAATACTTCTCATTCCAGATTTTGTCTTGGTATTTTATTGGAATGAATTCTTAGATTTGGAGAACTCTGGTTCCATCTTGTAAGGAATCCTTTCCCAATGAGAAGGAATGGAACAGAAAACTTTAGCTATCCTCAAAGCAAACTTCTTTACTGCTCACATTGTGTGCATGGATGCTGACTCCTAAAGCGGAGTCCTCTTTAAGATAAAAAAAAGAAATCTACAGTGATGATGTTACATGTTGAGTGGTTGTGCAGACTAGCCCACAACTGAAGAGTGCCTTTTATGAGGCAGTATCCTTGCTATAAGGAAGATAAACCCTGGACTAATGCTTCCTGTCTAGCTCAATGATTTACAGTGATTTCTTGATAAGGCTATAACTTTTAGCAGATTTGAATGTGATGAGATCAATAATTTGAGAACTAAAAGAACTTTTTCTCTCTGTCTGAAGTTCTGACCACCCTGTTCTGAAATAAAATCTGAAAAAGGAAAACTGGAGAGCTGTTAATGAACAAACATGAACATTCTTTCTGCTTTGGTAGTATGCTGATACAAAAAAACTCTAAACACACACAAGTATAAACTTCTGCTTCATTCCTAGTAACGTGCTTCTGCTAGAAGCACTTGTTGGTTTGCACCTAGAGGAATTTAGGGGTTTGTGAAGTAGCTAAATTTTATTTCTCAAGTTTTTCAGGAGTTAAACTGAAAATTCTGTAACAGTTGGCACTTGGGGTGGCGAGATGAGGGGCAATGGGATCACTCCCTGTCACTGAAGAATGTGGCAGTGCTAGCTAAGGAGAATGCAAAGATGTCTTTGACTTGTGATCCAGCAGTCAGTACAATCTCAGGTTTTACTTACATCTGTTTCTTAAGCGTTCCTTGATTTCATGTGGACTGACATCATTACAAGGTGACTTGAAATGCTACTGATCATCATGTAGATGTGCAGAGTTTCTGGGTTCTGCAGAAATATAGAATTTCTGTTGAGAAATAATTTCATGCTGCTGTTGAGCTGAGCACAGACCCAAATGGCAAAATCCAGAGAGATAAAAACCTTCTCCTTGTTTAAATGCCTTCTTTTCATTTGTTCCTAAAGGCTTTTACCAACCGGAGCACCAAATTGCAGAAGTGAAAGTTTAAATAGAGGCAGAAAAGAGTTGATTGGGAAACAACTGCAGTAGCTCCATATGCAACTTTCAAAATGAGGTCTTTTCAGTAGAATTGTTAGTTGCCATGGCAGTGGGCTACATGGCTTATACTGCCTTCACCCACTGCAGCTATAGCTCACACGGTTACCTGCTCAGCTGTTTGTTACTACAGAAAGCTGCCCTCTTTGCCAACATCCTGAGTAGTTTCTGAGAGCTGTCTGCACACCCATAGCCATCTGAAAGAACTGGAGTTGTTTAAGTAGTTTCCCTTTTACCTGCATATGTCTCACTGGACTGAATTCTGCCAGGTGTGCATTCAGCAATTCTCTGCTGGAAGATGTGTCAGCTGCAGTGTGGGAATGTACTGCGAAATCTGAAATGATTTTATCTTTTTATTGTTGATATACATTCATATGAAAGTGTCTGAGAGGGATTACCCATGCATATACGTGTGTCTTAATTATTTAATGTTAGGGATTCGTATAACTCATTTCCCTCTCTCCCCTTCCCTGTCTCTTTTCCCCCTCTGACTTGTCCCATTGTAGATGTTTTGGAAGTGCTCTGACTAAAAAGCATGCACTCTCTCTGCTAGCCATTTTTCTATTCATGTTTTCTGAAGGTTTTCAGAGTCTTGGTGTCCCTTTCTACCCAACTATCCAGTTTTGACCAATGTCCAGAACATGGTAGGGGGCTTGGTGCTAGATGATCTTTAAGGTCCCTTTCAACTTAAACGGTTCTATAATTCTAACTTAATGAAATTACTTCTTTTTTCCCTAAATGCTAAATTCCCTACAGGAATTACTTCTTTTTTTCCCTAAAGGCTTTATCAAAATGTTTAACTTTCCTCAGAAGGAAAATTTATTAAATGTAGCAACAGCCTTGCGTATTCCCATGATACAACCAAGCTTTGTGGATTAATGGAGGATCTGTTATTAGATGATTGGAATCCAGAGGAGTTGTGTCTATCAGTCTGACAGAATGAAGACCACTGTCTTCTGAATAATCTCCCTTTCATATTTTACAGGACACGAAATCCTTCTTTATTTATTGTTCTAAAAGATGGGGGGAGGAACATAACATCTCATTATAACTTGTTCCTTGCACACCATGTCCCTTTGTTAGAGGCTTGTGAATGTGTTTGCCTTTTTGAATTTGCAAATGCAGTGACATCCTGACTCCCACTTTCAATGCTGTGCTTTTTAATAGATTTTAATAGCTTTTTAATAGATTCTTGCAGGCACCAATGCTGTCAGGAGGATTTTGTTGACTCAGTAAATTCCTCTTAACCGGTGGAAGGACTAACACAACTTCTGAAGGCTGCGCAGAACTGGAGGTGGTTATCCCTGCCAATCTTTGTATAAGAGATAGTGGTTAAAAGACTTGGATTATTTGAGGAAGGTGGAAGCGCAGCAGTGCAGCGAGGAGCTCCTCTCCTGCATCCAGGCGCGGCGTTGTGTTAATGCCGGCAGCCGGCGGGTGGCACCGCCGAGCCGAGGAGGAGGAGGGAGGAGGCCGTGCGACTGGGGCATCCTCTAGGAAGGGATCCTCCAGCATCCCTCTCCCAGCCAAGACTGTTTGGTACAGCATATTGGCTTGCACTGTGGTGGCACCCTTACAAATAACCTGATGGTATACAAGAATGATCATTTTTCTTGAGGCACTGCTAAATGGCTGAATAGGTCCTACTGCCAGAAATTTTCTTCAGTGTAGCCTCATAGCTTCCTTTCCTCTTAGCCCTTGCACTGTTCTTCAGTGGGTCTGTAGTTCCTTAACAGTTTGCAACATTCAGTCTCCAAACCTCATCCTATAAGACATTGCCTTGCAGACACCGCTCTTGTTCTCTTGCCTTGAAACAACAGAGATGCTAATACTTCTTGTTGTTTTTCCTGAAGATCAATGGAAATAACACTCCTTTCTCTATATTTTTGCCACATCTTTTGGCATATGTGGTAATCTGCTTTTTAACTTTGTCTCACTCTTTCTGCTGTTGTTGCTGCAGTAAACAGCTTTCAGACTTCTGAGGGTATGTCTGTCTGGCACAGTACAATGGTTGTGTAGGTTGTGTAGGCTTCTTGGTTTCGACATGCTGTCTCTGGGAAGCCTGTTTTTATTGAAATATTAGGAAATCCCAATTCCTGTCAGGAGTTGCTGAACTGGATGAAAACATTTGTGTTGTGCCACTGAAGACACTGAGGCAAGTAAAAGTGTGAGTCTCTGAAAGCAAGCAGTGTAACAGTGGTCAAAAACCACACTGTATTTCATCTATATATTTATTCCAGCATGATATAATGTGTGTTTCTATCAGATGTACATAACATTCCTAGATTCCACTGATTTTGCTTGAAAACCTAAGTATGCAACATATGTGAGGAATTGGTCTCCATTAAAGAATATGTCATAGAGAAAAGTTTGGTTTTGCTGGCTTGTCCTATATCACAGAGTTACTTTTGTAAGTAACTCAACAACATAAAATCCAAGTGACTAGCTTATCATTCTGCTCTGTAATCATAAAGCCAGTCACTGCATGGTGTTCAATTTCTGCAGGAGTGGACGGTCAGAGTAACAAAAGCCCCTCTTAGTGTAGCTCTGATTTACATCAAAAAAAACCCAGGCCTCCTAAACACCATGAGAAGGAAAGTAGTATATGTCCATTTAATGAGAGAGTATATCACATGTTGAGCAGGAGGTGACAGAGTATCACCCTAGGGGCAGAAAGCAGATGCCTTTTTTTTTGACTTGTCCTCCCTGCCATCCTTTGAGCAAGGAGTGATGCAGGAGCAGTGCAGCATGTGTGCTACTCTGAATGTTATGGGTAAATGACCATTGGAAGTTACCAAGCCTCTGAATGTTCTGGGTAAATGACCAAGAAAAAATTTTAGTAAGTAAAGCAGAGAGGGCATAGCAATTTTCATTAGTCATTATGTGGTGAGATTGGCCCTGACTGGCACAAAACCAGCAGAGGTAGCTCTTATGATACCTGAAGTACTTTGTTTCAAAGATAAAAGTTGCTTGCAATGCAGTGAAAATTTATAGAGAATTTAAATGTAATGAAATCGTGGGACATCTCCTGAACACACATCACATAATAGTTAGGTCATCTGCTAAGTAGGTTTAATCTGAAGTGGACTTTTCAATATATATTGAGTTAAAAATGGAAACTTCCTTCTGCTTATGGGTGCTGGTTTTGTCTTCTGTATTACCTGGT